TTTTTTTAATGGTCCCTCCTCCTGCAAACCTGCCCTGACCTCCCAGGCTGGGTGGAGACCTCCCTCTGGGCCTCAGCACCCCATGTTGTTGTTGTTGTTCTTCTTCTTCAAAGAGAAAGTTTATTTAGAAAGTCACAGAGGTAGAAGTATGCTATAGAAGAAATGGTGTGGGCTCAGGAAACAAGTTACAGATGCAAAAAAAGGGTCTTTGGAGCTTAGGGGAGAGAGAAGCAAAGGGATTTGCCATCAAGCAAGAAGGGGGAGCGGGGGAGTAAAGACATTCTACAGAGAGAGAGAGAGAGAAAACGCGCCTTAAGGCAATATCTTATAGTCAAGTTAATTTTCTTTTTTTTCAAAATTGTTATCATTCATTGTTGGGGGTATCATGGGGGGCGAAGGGAAAGGCATGGGCTTGCTCCCCGGAGGGAGAGCGCACCCTGAGTTCTTTTCATACCCGTTTTCTTGTCTGTCTCCCAATCAGGCAGCAAGCTCCTGAGAAGCCATGACGGGGTCTCAGAAAACATTGTCTCCCCTATGCCTGGCACATAGTAGGTGCTCAAGAAATATGTGTCGAGTGGAATAATTCATGAATTAATCTGGTGTCAAAGACTAGAGAGCCCTCAGCCCTCTGGAGAGGACTGAGTGCGGACCGACTCGCCGCAGCTGGCCCCGCACAGGGTCTGCCACACAATGGCTGCTCTACACACGAATGTGGAAAGGAGGAGGGAAGGGACGCGCGTCATTTCTGAGCATGAGGTGCTCAATGGTGGCTCGTGGCACCACCTAATGGTCCGATGCAGCCCCCAAGGACAGAAACCGCTCTAGCCTGTCACCTCCTGCCCACTCGCGGCCCATAGGCGGGGTTAGGGCGTGGCCTAAAGAAGAAAAGGGGGCGGGACTTATGGCCTGAGCCTATTGGGCGTCCACAGTGCCCTTGTCCTATCCTCCCCGGTGGGTGGGGCTTGACGGGCCCCTGAGCCAGTGGGGGAAGCGGGGAGGGAATCGCCGTTTCTGTGGATGTCTTTGCACTATTTGGGGGAGTACGGCAGGGGCTGAGGGTCCCCGAAGAGGACTGCATTTTATTTTATTTATTTATTTATTTTATTGATCTTTACAGAGACGATCAGCTGCCTCCTGCCCACGCCCCACTGGGGATGTGCCCGCAACCAAGGTACATGCCCTTGACCCGAATGGAACCTGGGACCCTTGCATCCGCAGGGCGACGCTCTATCCACGGAGCCAAACCGGTTAGGGCAAGAACTGCATTTCAAATAAACAAATATAGCCTCGCTCCACTCACCCCTCGCACCACATCCTGACGATTTTACAGAATGAACTGACTGCAAGCGAGTGCCCACCCGGGGCAGGCCTCTCCCTCCACCCTTAAGAGTGATGTTTAAGAGCCCAACCTCTGACACGGAGAGCATCTGGGTTCAAATCCAGGGTCTGCCTTGTGCTGTCTGTGTGATCCTGGGCGCATGACTTACTCTCTGTAGTCCTCAGTTTCCCCCCCTGTGCGATAGGATGGGTACTTACCTGCGTTAATCTTGTAAAATGCTTGAAACCAGCTCATCGTTGTATTTGCAATTCAGTGCTCATGCCCTCTCTGCTCCCACACCTCCCATGGCTCCCCATGGCCCTCAGAGCAAAATCCACACCCTTTCCTGTGACCCAGGTGGCTCTGCATGGTCCAGCTCCGACTTCCCTGCATTTTCCTGTTGCACCATGTAGCTGCTCAGTGGTCTTCTTGTCCTCAACAACACCCAGCCTGATCTGGCTTCAGGGCCATTGCACATGCTGTTCCCTTCGCAGGTGAAGCTCTTGCTTTTCCAGATGCTCATCCTTGCACTGTACACAATTCCCCCTCCTCCTCCAGGTCTGACTCAAGTGCTGCTTTCCCTGGAAAGCCCTCCTAGATCCCTCCAGATCTGGTTGGGACACCCCTATTACATTCCCAGGTCCCTGTTTATTTCCATTGCAAGGACCTCCAGCCACAGGCAACAAATTGAAGTTCTCTATCACCACGCCACCCAGTTTTCCTCCCATATATCCCACCTGCGGAAACGGGGGCGCCACTGCTGGGAGGAGGCGTGGAACAGGTCAGTGACAGGACAATGACATCTTGGCCTCACTTAACCCGAGCAGTGGTTCAAAGCAAACACACTCAACATCAGCCCTTTCTGCTCTGGAATAGCAAATTGAAGCCACCTGCTCCTCCCAGGAGACCTCCTTCCGGTTCCCTGAAGATCCCCCTGTTCCTCCATCCAGGAGCTCTCCAGCCCCTACCTTTCCTTCCATCCCCTCCATGGCCCCTCGGAGAGTCTGTGTGTGGTTGTCCTGGGGACCAGGTTGGGGTGAGGTTGGCACAGAGAATATGGTTGGGAGGTGTTTGTCAAGTTAATGAATGCATTATATGCCTACCGAACTACCGTGTACCCTTCGAAAGCCCAACCCCAACATCCCTTTTTTAGGATACCTTCCTTCTCTCCCCAGAGAGGCCGCCACTCCCCTACTCCCCATTCCTCCAGCTCCAGGACCCACTCTCTAGCCCAACCCTGACTTCACAGGCTGGGTGCCCCTGTGGCCAGCTCTTCTTCCTGCAAGCTGGGGTCTTCTTGGGGACCAGGACTTGGGTGTACAGGAAGATCGTCAGGAAGTGCTGAGAGAATGGAACACCTGAAGTCACATGTCTTCGATTCACATCCTAGCCGGCGACGCGGCACTGAATCTGTCCTCTGACCTCTCTGACCTCACTTGCCCATTTATTAAATGTGTTTACTCGGGGCCTGGGCCCCAAGTTGTAGCAAGGATGAAATGAGTCAGCACATAAAGCATATGGTTTTAGGACCTCAGACTCCCTCCTGTCCCACACGGAGTGTGACTCAACCCAGGACCAGCAGCTATGCTCCCCTCTCTGGCACCCAGAACTAGAGTGTTGTCAACAGCATGTTCCATGAAAGTTGACCAAAGGGCTTGTGAGAGAGGTGGGGGAAGGAGGAAAGACAGGTGAATATTCAAAAGGCTGAAACCTGCTCAGCTGTGTGGCTCAGTGGTTGAGCATTGACCTATGAACCAAGAGGTCACGGTTCAATTCCTGGTTAGGGTAGGTGCCAGAGTTACTGGCTCGATCCCGAATAGGGGATGTGCAGGAGGCAGCCAATCGATGATTCTCTCTCACCATTGATGTTTCTATCTCTCTACCTCTCCCTTCCTCCCTGAAATCAATTAAAATAATAATAATAAAAGGCTGAAACCTAAGTACTGGTGATAGGCCACTTGGGGAAATAGCCTGGTCATTTCTCACCCATAACCCAGCCATTCCACCCATGAGCATTTACTGGGTGGAAAGGGGATATACTCATTAAAAGACATGTGCAAAAAGACTCAAAAAAGCTTTATCCACGATAGTAAAAACCTGGAAATAACCCAAATGTCCACCAACAGGTGAAATGGACAAATAGTGAATAATTAGTACCAGGTTGTTACAATAAGAAAAAACATACCCATGTATTTGCAAGGATGTGGAGAGATTGGAACCCTCATACACTGCTGATGGGAATGTAAAATGGTGCAGCCGCTGTAGAAGTGTCTAGCAGTTCTTCAAAAAGCTAAACATGAGCCCTGACATGTGACTCAGTTTGTTGAGCATCGTCCTGTCCCATGCACCAAAACATTGCAGGTTTGAGTCCCAGTCGGGGCACATGCCCAGATTCTTTCACACATGTATGCTTCTCTCTCTCTAAAAAAAGAAAGATCAATGAAAACATTTTTTTAAAGCTAAACATGTAATTACCACAAGACCCAGCAATTCCACTGCTAGGTATAGATCCAAGAGAATGGAGAGCTGGTACTCAAAGAAACTTATTCAGAGCAGCCCTATTCACAATAGCAAAATGGTGAAAACAGCCCAAATATTCACTAATGGATGAATGGATAAACATCCTGTGTGGATAACCATCCATACAAAGGAATGAAGTATGCTACCACATGGATGAACCTTGAAAATATTATGCTACCCGGAGAGCATTATGCTAAGCAAAATAAGCCAGTCAGAGAAAGCTAAATATCACATGATCTCACTCATTTGTGGAATATCATGGAAACAATAAAGAATTTAAATTTTTTTAAAAAGAAAAGATTATGCTGAGTGAAGAAAGCCACATAGAAATGGCCATTCATTGCATGAAATGTCCAAGGCAGGAAAACCCATAGGGACAGAAGGTAGATTAAGGGTTGCACGTGGCTGGAGGGAAGGGCGAGGGGGCTTGACTGCTGATGGGGACAAGGTCTCCTTTTTTCTTTTTTTTAAATCCTCACCCAAGGATATGCTTTTTAAAAACCTGATTTTAGAAAGAGAGGGAGAAGGAAAGAAAGAGAGAGGGGAACATTGATGTGAGAGAGAAACATCAATTGGTTGCCTCCCAATTGGGGTTCAAACCAATTGAACCCTGTTCTCTGACCAGGAATCAAACCCGGTGCACGGGATGACGCTCCAACCAACCGAGCCACCACCCACCAGGGCGAGTCTCCTTTTAAGGGTAGATAAGTGTTAGGCGGCTGGATATTCACACAACATTGTGAATGTGCTAAATGGAACTGAATTCTACACTTTAAGTGGCTAAAATGATGTTATATGCTATATGTAGTTTACCACAATATAAAAATAAAAAATAGTACCCGGGACTATTTTGATACCGGACACAACAGGTGTGAAGCTGCCTGTCACTCTGAGAGTCAAATTAAGCAGAGACAGGGTTAAATCACGTCTGAGCATTTATCCCAGGAAGGCCAGCAGCATGTGGAGAGCAGTCAGCCAGCCTGGAATTTCTGCTCTGACATTTCATTTTAAACAAGCTCTTATGTAAAAATCTAAAGTTAGTGAGTTCCCAGGGTCCGCCTCCTTTCACCGTCTTTGCCAAGATCAGCCCCAGAGAGCTGCAAAGATTAGCCGGGAACACCGTCTCCCTCCAGATAGCTTCTGTCCTTGACCTGGGCTTTGGGCTGCCTTATCTCCAGGGCCTGTTCTCCTTCTGGGAACACGCCGTCCAGTTTCCCAGGGTCTGTAAGAAAGTCTCTCATCGTTAGTGAGTGAGCTGAGTAATCATTGAACAATCGTGGTCTTATTACGTGCCCTTCCCACCTATCAATTCCACAGCCATGAAAAGTTTCAAACACCTGCAGGAGGAGCAAGTGTGACCCCATTTCTGTGAAGTTCAAAACCACACAAAATTCACCTGTAGTGACAGAGGTCATGGCAGCGGTCTCCTGAGGAAGGATCAACTGGAGAGTCCAAGCAACTGCCAGGGCTGGGAATGTCCTAGATCCCATCCTGAGAGCCGTCCCCTCACCAAGCCCCACTCCTGACCCTGGTGAACCTGACCAAGCCCATGTTAAAAACAAAAAATTTACCAGGGGGAAAAAATGAGAGTGTCCAGCAGTCATGAGGACCCAGAGTTCCATTTCTTCACAAATGCCATCCCCGACCCCTGGTGACTTTGAAACAGGCACGGAGCTGGGGGGGCCTGGACAAAGGTAGGAGGGGAGTGACCTGCACATGGTTCCCGGGATTTCAGAAATGATCCCCAGATGCCTCATCTCTAGGGAGATGCCACACCAGAGTCCCCAGCCTGGGACAGGAAAACCTCAGGGCTCCAGGACACTAGAAATATCAGAGGTCGCCTGGCTGGTGTGGCCTGGTTGGTTGGGCGTCGGCCCAGGCACCAAAAGGTTGCCCATTCAATTCCCAGTCAAGGCACATGCCTAGATGGGTTCGACCCTTTCCTCCCCCCCCCCTCTCCTCTCTTTCTCTTTCTTAAAAAAATTAATTAAATGGAATGAAGGAAGGCCCCGGCCAGCAACCGGAAGGCTCCGATCGGCCCTGATTGCCTGGGGGCCATACCCGTGCACAAATTTCATGCACCAGGCATCTAGTCTTAAAAATAAAAAGAATATCAGAGGTCTGTGGGGGCACTCTTCCCTCCCAATCAGAGTCTCTGGTGGAGACACATCTTGAGGACTCAGGGTCCTTTAAGGCCAACTAGCACAAATAACTCACAGCCTCAAGCAAAAGGAGGAATAGAGATTTCATCAGAAAGTCCTGCGTTTGTGTCCTGACCCTGAAGGAATAAATGAATGAATGGTGAATGGTGGGCCAATGGGCTGTTCATCCCTGTCCCACAGCCTTTCTCATACACTTCCTAGGTGCCCAGCCTCGTCCTCCAAAAGACCAGGGCCCCAGAGAGGCCGCAGCCTCGCCTGGCCTCCAACAAGCTCTCATCCCGGTGAAGAAGACAGAGCCCGACACAGAAAATCCCACTTTAATGATTGCTCAGAGCAATAATAATAATAATAATAATAATAATAATAAATCATGAGGGAGGTATCGGAATAGAGGAAGTACGCCAGGGCCAAAAAGAAAGAGAGAGGAAGTAGAGTGCCAGGGCGTTAGATGGTATGTGGCCAGCGACTGTTACCCACTGACCAGGGAGGAAGTTGGGGTGAACAGCTCAAAAACGAAGAGTAAAGGCTGGCCGATCCTGCTTCCCAGGCCTTTTCTCTTGATTTCTTTTGTAAACTTCCAGAGACGGGCGCTCACTCCCAAGGTAGACAGCATGGCACACACACCTGTCAGATGTTTAATGCAATGTGGTTTTTCAAGTAGTGACTGCCATAGGTAAAAGGTCTGAATGAGATTGTTTGGGGGGTGTGTGTGTGTGTGGGGGGGGGTGCCCTGTGAGCGGGCAGTCAGTCCCTGCCACAGGCTGTGTCTGGAATCAGACCCACCTGAGTTCGAATCCCTGCCACTTATCGGCCAGATGACTTCATTTCTCCAAGGCTCGGTTTTCTCTTTCCTCTGAAGTGACCCGAACAGCAGCCTCTACCTCGGAGGTTCGTGCATGTGCTCAATGAGCTAACGGAACAGAATGCGGGCACACAGCAGGCGCAGAAGTATTTGCTCTGCTCCAGGCCAGGGGGCTCTGGAATGTGTCCCGCACACACTGTACTTGGCTAACACTACAGCGTTGCACGTTCTCACTCCTGCAGGTGCTCTTGCCCCGCCACCCACACCTGGCGAACTCTGATACCTCCCTCAAAACCCTAGCTACGAGATACCTTCCTTTCTTCTCTTTTATCTCATTCTCTCTGTCTCTCTCTCTCTCTCTCTCTCTCTCTCTCTCTCTCTTTCTCTTCTTTTCTTTTCTTCCTTTTTTTAAATTGTTAACACTATTACAGCTGTCCTCTCTCTCTCTCTCTCTCTCTCTCTCTCTCTCTTTCTTTTCTTTTCTTCCTTTTTTCAAATTGTTAACACTATTACAGCTGTCCCCGTTTTACAAAATACCTTTCTCTTCTCTGCTCAAGCCCCGACCCAGGGAGCCGGGAGCGTCAGGGCGCGGTTCTGATGGGACCTGCGGGGATGTGACTCCCGAGGGCAGCGGTTCCGACGGGCAGAGGCAGGCACGGGCGGACAGACTGAGGCAACCGTGCAGACCCAAAAGCCCGCACCAGCT